AGTAGCCACAAAGGCATCAGATGGGCCCGGATGTGTACCCAGGGAGAAACCAAGGCAAGGACACGCATTGGAAAAATGCCGTTCGTTGGTTCAGTCATTTGTTTATTCGTTCATTCATTCATTCATTCATTCATTCAACAGAAACTCACTGAGCTCCCACTACGTGCTAGTTCCTGTGCCAGGTACTAGGGATGAGGTGGCAAACGAGACAGGTCCAGGCGATAGACGTGCCACAGGCTGTTCCTGTGAATCTGTCATCTCAGCTTGCAGCAGCCGTCGAAACACTGACAAGCGTTAGAGACTGTTTGCGAGGATTCTGGAAGCAGAGTGGAGGTTTGATCCCGTTCCACACATGGAAGATACACTAGTGACAGACCACATGGGGACACGAGGGACTCTGAGACGTTGGGGAGAAAGCAGAAAGAAAAACGGCAGTTCTTATGACGAGGCAATTAAAAATATCCCGGCCGTGCGGAGGCTGAGGGGGATACGAGAGAAGTTTAGAAAACCCACAAAGAGAACGAATTAAATAATTAAACGAATTTTGACTGGTTCAAAGCACATGCTGGGTTCAAATGTGGCCTCTGCTGCTTTCTAGCTGTGCGACCTCGGGCGGATTACTTAACCTGTCTGTCTTTCTGTATCTTTAAGTAAAGGTTCATCCAAGTGTCTACTTAGAGCTTCGCTGTGGCCGTGAAGATTTACAAGAGTTAACGCGTGTGGGTCACTTACAACAGCGCTTGGCACACGACAAACACTCTGCTACCTGTTAATGTTTTTCTGAATGCGAGGTCCTTGCAATCAATTCAGCGTTTGATTGTAGAGATAAATAAGGCAACTTATGGCATCCTGGGTTATCCGAAGGACCTGCCGACATGCAGAAGTATGGTCCAGTCTTGACCTACTAAGAGGTGCTGAAAAGGTTCGGTAATTCCTTAGGACCCGAAGCCGGGCCTAAGGGGGTGATGAATGCTGAGCGTGCACGTTTGCCTCTGCCCGGACATCCCGCAACACCCCTCCAACGCAGGCAGACACGGCCTCGTGCGGTTGAGTCTGCTGTGGGTCTGACAGCATTTCCTAATCACATTAGGCCATCCGTCGCAGAGCGAGGAGTCGCTGGAGGCCCTGTGGGCAGCAGTTTGCTTTCTGTTTGTTATTTCCATAGAGGAAATACATTGGTGTCAATGACGCACACACTTGGGCCTAGCCAGAATTCGCTTTTGACAAGGGGCGGTAGGCCTTTGCGATGTCGCAGATGGCGGGGGGCGGGGGGGCGGGTGGTGAGTGCAGGGGAGGGGAAGCTGACTGCTTGGAAAGGGGGCCTCCTCGCCTCAGCTGAGACAGGGAGCATATTACGTCACGAGACTGGTCTGTCCCCTCCTCTACCGTGTCCCGTTGTGGCCGGCCTGGACTAGGAATTGAGGTCTGAGGTCAAGTATGGCTTTGGCCGGGCCACCCCTTTCTCTGGACCTCCAATTGCCTTACACAAACAAAACAAAGTAGAACAAGTAGGCAACCAGAATCCTTTCCTCAAGCGACAGCTTACTTTGGAGTCTCAGGAATAAAAAAAAAAAAAGTCGATCAAGCGTGGGGGGTGGGGGAGGGGCCTGTGAGCTCAGAGCTGCACCAGCGGCTCCCACATCGGTCACGTGCACTGGTGCCCTTACACCCTCCGGCTCATCCTAACACAGTTTGAAAACCACTGGCCTAGATAAGCTCTAGTCCCTTCCAGGCCCCACGTTCTGTGGTTCTGATGCCTTTGGCACCAACGTGACCTCAAATCGAAGGAGCAGTTACAGGATCTAGAGCAGTACTGCCAGTAGAATTATGTAAACTGCGCAAGTCATTTCAGATTTTCTAATAGCCATAGCCTACGAAGTAAACAGAAACTGGCAAAATTCATTTTATGAACGTGTTTTATTTACCCCAACACGTCCAAACAACTCGACACGTGACTGGCATAAAAATGAAGTTCTCAAAATCCAGCATGCATGAACGTAGAGCACATCTCAGTTCATAGCTGCCACATTCCATGG